GGATGCACAAAGACTTGGTATGTACAAACTACACAGCAGATGATACAGTATTATGCCTCTGTTTATTTTCGCTCTGAATGAGCCAAGCAAAGTCATTGTCGAGCAAACTTTCGCTGCGAATTTCCTCACGAACTTTTTGACGGTACCGATTTACGCATTCTTGTAACAGCGATTGTACGATTACTTCTCAAACGCGACTCCCCGCCCACGATGCGTTGTCAATAACCGATCAATTGTCTGTTATTAAACCGTTCCATCCTATGGTAACGCCAATTCTGTAAAACGCATAAAAGTATATTAATATGGCATGTAAATCTGTTAATAAAATATGTAACGAAATATTTTTAAAGACAGATCTTTGCTTTTATTTTATTTTCCGGTTTCTCTCATGTTCTGTATGTAATCTCCAGCACAAAGTATTTTTCTCAAAGCCGCCAATTGCTTATCACTGGACTCTTCCCATTTTGTGAGCAGGTCTATTTTGTACGGGTTGATTTATATACATGTCACCAAATTAGTCTCTTCAATAGTAATCAATCACATAGAATGCAATACTTCAATTTACTCTTACAAGACACATCAACACTTCCCCATCCCACAACCTCTCCACCATCTTGTTTCTGTTTCGAGAGCTGCAGATGACGTGACGGTGGTATTCATATTTGGTATACCGGGTTCAGCGCTGAACTGATGATTCAGTTCTACAGTGTCGAGGACGGTGATTGAATGTCTATAGAATCACAGGTCTGTTGGTTTTCAACAGAAGCTATTATGGACTGAACACATTGCTACAGTAAAAGAAAATAAAAGCATAAGTCAGATAAACCAAGGAATATAAATCGTAAGGAATCGCAAAACAATGCTACTAACAACTATTAGTACTTTTGGCCGGAGTAGTAATATTTTCGGTGGTGTAGTACATTCAAATGATATATATTTCTCATCGTTCGATTGAGCAAGACAATGTAGCATAGCATGTCTACTAATAGTAAAAAAATAGGTTTATTCAGCAGTCCGGTATGGACGAAAGATAAAGAGCAACGAATAGTTACCATTATGGATTGCGATGACATGGGTACTCTCTTTCAAATAGGCAGAGTATCGTCGTTACTATAGAGCTACATACCATCCACCGAGATATCTGAGTGAATCCAATATATTGGCGCATCAATTTTGACTGGGTCATGACAAAAAAGTCAGTTCCTCTCCCCAAAAAACATCGAGACGATGAATATACTCTATTGCTCATACCTATAGGAGACATTAATAAAATACGAGAAGCAATAGTTCATTCAGCGTCTCCCCTATCGATACATTAATGTTAATTCTTCTTTAAACGCGGCTCTAAACTCTAATTCCACAATAAACGCATGGGCCAACCAAATTATCTGATCACAGATGATAGAATGTTACTAAATGTGTATAGTCCTGTTCGTGGATGAAGAATTATCGTTGTTCTTTTCCGACACTTAACACGGATGCGCTTTTTCTGTTCGGTAGGCCTATTACATAGATGAAGGAATTCCTATCGTAAACACAGCTGCTCCTTTTCCATAAACGTCTCGACAATCCGGAATCAGACATGCAGAGGATGGATAAAGAGTTTCGCAACAGCATCATAATTATTTTGTCTGAATAATGGTAATGAATAAACAAGCCATTTTCCTTTTTATGCTAATTTGTACGCAAATCTTATGCACCAATAAATGTAAAATAGCTTTTTTTAAGTCATTTATTTGGATCGACAAATATACACATAATTTTTTCACTCAATTATCCGGTTCTCGAGCGCAACCGTCAATCGACCGGGACATGCTGTAAGGGACATTTATTGTTGATAGTAACAATTGATTAGAAAGAAGCACCCGAGTTTTTGCAAATGTTAGGAAACAAGGAAAGAATTAAGAATACCTTCGCGACAAGCTTTTTACGATTCACATATCAAAATTCTTTTTTTTTGGAGGGGGGGGGGGGGTCTGCGACGATGCGAGATTCGGCAATGATAACACATTTCCTTCGCGAGTGAACCTCGCTCGTATATCTTTGCGATATAACATGGCATCTTCTTTTCAGCCAGATTCATCGGGTAAACTTGAACTCGTCGGCCATCTTCTATTACTTCTTGACCCTGTCATCTCCTACGCAGAAGCGACATTCGCACTCTCATGACAGGGTCTTCCATCACTTCTTTAACCATCTGGTCCGTCATCTTCTATTACTTCTTGACTCTGTCATCTCCTACGCAGAAGCGACGGCCGCCGCTTCCGCAACGTCCGTACTCTCATGACAGGGTCTTCCATCACTTCTTCAACCATCTGGTCCGCCATCTTCAATTACATCTTGACCCTGTCATCTCCTACGCAGAAGCGACGGCCGCCGCTTCCGCAACGTCCGTACTCTCATGACAGGGTCTCCTATCATTTCTTCTGGCCCGCCATCTTCTATTACTTTTAGGGCCTCTTCTGTCACTTTTTCAAACATTCAGCTAATCATAAGCAATCAGAGCGTTGGACGATTGGCTGCTCGTATCGGAGCTGTGTTCTGGCATGGTAGAGGTGGACACCATATCTGCTAATAACATCAGATGTAAAAGGAGGGGTTAGTTTAATGATTTTACGCGTAAGTTTGTGATAACTTGTTGAAAGGCGTCAGAGCGAAAATAAACAGAGGCATAATACTGTATCATCTGCTGTGTAGTTTGTACATACCAAGTCTTTGTGCATCC